TTTATCCCATGTTTCCTGTTTAGGATTGGGTTTCGCATTCCTTCTGAAGTCTACCTCAACTCTATATTCCTAACATCTTCAACTGAGCTCTGATTAATTATCTTTCTTCTCTCTCAATAGGAGTAGATAGGTTCATCTATCATCTGTTTCATGCTCTTCCACGGTTTTTTGAACAGAAGTAGAGGTTTATTCCATGTTTCCTGTTTAGGATTGGGTTTCGCATTCCTTCTGAAGTCTACCTCAACTCTATATTCCTAACATCTCCAACTGAGCTCTGATTAATTATCTTTCTTCTCTCTCAATAGGAGTAGATAGGTTCACCTATCATCTGTTTCATGCTCTTCCATGGTTTTTTGAACAGAAGTAGAGGTTTATCCCATGTTTCCTGTTTAGGATTGGGTTTCGCATTCCTTTTGAAGTCTACCTCAACTCTATATTCCTAACATCTCCAACTGAGCTCTGATTAATTATTTATCTTTCTTCTCTCTCAATAGGGTAGATAGGTTCACCTATCATCTGTTTCATGCTCTTCCACGGTTTTTTTGAACAGAAGTAGAGGTTTATCCCATGTTTCCTGTTTAGGATTGAGTTTCGCATTCCTTTTGAAGTCTACATCAACTCTATATTCCTAACATCTCCAACTGAGCTCTGATTAATTATTTATCTTTCTTCTCTCTCAATAGGGTAGATAGGTTCACCTATCATCTGTTTCATGCTCTTCCACGGTTTTTTGAACAGAAGTAGAGGTTTATCCCATGTTTAATGTTTAGGATTGAGTTTCACATTCCTTTTTGAAGTCTACCTCAACTCTATATTCCTAACATCTCCAACTGAGCCCTGATTAATTATTTATCTTTCTTCTCTCTCAGTAGGAGTAGATAGGTTCACCTATCATCTGTTTCATGCTCTTCCACGGTTTTTTGAACAGAAGTAGAGGTTTATCCCATGTTTAATGTTTAGGATTGAGTTTCACATTCCTTTTGAAGTCTACCTCAACTCTATATTCCTAACATCTCCAACTGAGCTCTGATTAATTATTTATCTTTCTTCTCTCTCAATAGGAGTAGATAGGTTCACCTATCATCTGTTTCATGCTCTTCCACGGTTTTTTGAACAGAAGTAGAGGTTTATCCCATGTTTCCTGTTTAGGATTGAGTTTCGCATTCCTTTTGAAGTCTACATCAACTCTATATTCCTAACATCTCCAACTGAGCTCTGATTAATTATTTATCTTTCTTCTCTCTCAATAGGAGTAGATAGGTTCACCTATCATCTGTTTCATGCTCTTCCATGGTTTTTTGAACAGAAGTAGAGGTTTATCCCATGTTTAATGTTTAGGATTGAGTTTCACATTCCTTTTGAAGTCTACCTCAACTCTATATTCCTAACATCTCCAACTGAGCCCTGATTAATTATTTATCTTTCTTCTCTCTCAATAGGAGTAGATAGGTTCACCTATCATCTGTTTCATGCTCTTCCACGGTTTTTTGAACAGAAGTAGAGGTTTATCCCATGTTTCCTGTTTAGGATTGGGTTTCGCATTCCTTTTGAAGTCTACCTCAACTCTATATTCCTAACATCTCCAACTGAGCTCTGATTAATTATTTATCTTTCTTCTCTCTCAATAGGAGTAGATAGGTTCACCTATCATCTGTTTCATGCTCTTCCACGGTTTTTTGAACAGAAGTAGAGGTTTATCCCATGTTTCCTGTTTAGGATTGAGTTTCGCATTCCTTTTGAAGTCTACATCAACTCTATATTCCTAACATCTCCAACTGAGCTCTGATTAATTATTTATCTTTCTTCTCTCTCAATAGGAGTAGATAGGTTCACCTATCATCTGTTTCATGCTCTTCCACGGTTTTTTGAACAGAAGTAGAGGTTTATCCCATGTTTAATGTTTAGGATTGAGTTTCACATTCCTTTTGAAGTCTACCTCAACTCTATATTCCTAACATCTCCAACTGAGCCCTGATTAATTATTTATCTTTCTTCTCTCTCAATAGGAGTAGATAGGTTCACCCATCATCTGTTTCATGCTCTTCCACGGTTTTTTGAACAGAAGTAGAGGTTTATCCCATGTTTCCTGTTTAGGATTGAGTTTCGCATTCCTTTTGAAGTCTACCTCAACTCTATATTCCTAACATCTTCAACTGAGCTCTGATTAATTATCTTTCTTCTCTCTCAATAGGAGTAGATAGGTTCACCTATCATCTGTTTCATGCTCTTCCACGGTTTTTTGAACAGAAGTAGAGGTTTATCCCATGTTTCCTGTTTAGGATTGAGTTTCGCATTCCTTTTGAAGTCTACCTCAAATCTATATTCCTAACATCTCCAACTGAGCTCTGATTAATTATCTTTCTTCTCTCTCAATAGGAGTAGATAGGTTCACCTATCATCTGTTTCATGCTCTTCCACGGTTTTTTGAACAGAAGTAGAGGTTTATCCCATGTTTCCTGTTTAGGATTGAGTTTCACATTCCTTTTGAAGTCTACCTCAAATCTATATTCCTAACATCTCCAACTGAGCTCTGATTAATTATCTTTCTTCTCTCTCAATAGGAGTAGATAGGTTCACCTATCATCTGTTTCATGCTCTTCCACGGTTTTTGAACAGAAGTAGAGGTTTATCCCATGTTTCCTGTTTAGGATTGAGTTTCACATTCCTTTTGAAGTCTACCTCAACTCTATATTCCTAACATCTCCAACTGAGCCCTGATTAATTATTTATCTTTCTTCTCTCTCAATAGGAGTAGATAGGTTCACCCATCATCTGTTTCATGCTCTTCCACGGTTTTTTGAACAGAAGTAGAGGTTTATCCCATGTTTCCTGTTTAGGATTGGGTTTTCAGTTCCTTCCAAAGTCTACTTTGACACTATTACTTCTGACGTTTCCAAGTGAAATTTGAAATGTTATTCACTAATTAAATTTTGACCTTTTCAAATCTAGAGTTAGCTGTTATCTTTCCTGCATAGCCCCAAGAATTTCACTTCTTCCCTTTTCTTATGCCAATACAACACCACGCAGTAACCCTCTACCTTGAGTGGCTTTTCGGCCTTGTATAGGGCGAACATTAGTAAAAAACTTCAGTGTTAAAGGAATTAAACAACTTTTACAATGACTTGTGAGGAACTTCAGTAGTCAAGTTAGGAAATAAAGATTGTATTGACAACTTTGGATACAAACTACAAAACCAAATAACTACTGAACTTGGAAAATCTCTCCCCACTCCTAAAAGAAATCAGACACAAAATCAATATTATCTTAGCAGATGAGAGAAAGTATCAAACATATTCAGGTCGTAAGTAAAGTCAATGTCAAAAGCAACTTTAGAATAGTGTTAGGTAGAATTTAAATTGACAGCAAAAAAGAATACAAGGAAATGTTCTACACAAAACTACGACCACTTCATCATCCAAATGAGCCTATGGCCATATCATGTTGAAATACCAGTTCCTGTATGATCAACAAAGTCAATCAATGTCAAGGTTGGTTAGTACCTAAATGGGTGACTGCTTGGGAATACCAGCTGCTGTAAGCTTGGATATACAAGTAGTGTAATGGATAATGGTTTGGAATTGAAAATCGGAATGCCAAGTTCCAGTTTGGTTTGTCATATTCACTTATGTGCAAATACTCTGGGGAAGTATGAATCCATATCTTCTTTCCCCAGTTATGAGTTAAGTATTAAGACTTGTATCAATAAATCATTATTATCTTCAAAAAATCCTTATAATTTAAAAATATTTTCTGGCTTTAAATAACCTACAAAAGTTGATAAACTGTAAAAAACAAATCAATTCATCCCAACTTTTCTTAACTACATTGTCCTCACATTTTGTATTGAGCTCAAAAATCAGCCCTCAAACTAAAACCTATGCAACATACACACAACAAATCATGACCTGTAAAGACTGCAAAACAGTTCAATGTATGAGAAAACAAACAAGAGTGAGAGACATCTTAGAAGCCATTAACAAACTTAAATGGTAAAGAGTAGATTATGTTACAAGTGTGTCAGAAAACATGGATTCCTCAAGATCATCTGTGAAATTGTTCTTTTAAATAAAACAGTATGATCTGGATAAATCCAGAATGGTTTTGAATGATAATGTTTAGAAGTGAAAAATGCAGCAGATATTGGTGAAAAACCTATACTTAACAACAGTGATAGTAATGACTGAACAAAATAAGCAAGCAGGTAGTAACTCTTGGTTTATCCACAATCAAACAGAACCCATTTAATTCAAAGAAGTGGATTTTAAAAAGAAAACTGATTTTATTTGACAATATTCATAAAGAATCTAAATGAAATTGTTTAAATTTTAAGTACGGTAACATTTATTGTAAATTCTACTGACTTCCCCTTTTAAGATCTCATTTTAATTGGTTACTCAGATTTTACTCAACAAATCAAACACAAACTCTCAAGAAGTTTTTTATGGAATTTTTTAAGACTTACTGTGTTTTATTTTGTTTCCAAATGAGACAAAGGTTGTCTGTCAGACTGATTTAGTTTGTGATTTATTTTTGAAAAAGTGAAGAAACCGGATGGAATTACTTGTTTGTGAATATTTTTCACTCAGAAAATAAATATTTAAACTTTAAAATTAGTCAGTTGTTCTTAAGAAATAACTAAAGATTGTTTATATCACTGAATAATATACACTGATGGAAAATAAAATTGCAACCTCCAGAAAGACAATGCTGATTTTAACCTGAGTAGTGTATAGTAGATCTTTTGATAAAAATTTCAAAGTTTTTTTGCCATATTGTAGATTAAATAATTACAGTGAAAAACACAATTAGTTAAGATATGATTCTTGTAACAACATAATTTTAGTGCTATGCTTGTATATCTATGACATTCAGGGTTTCTCTAAAATAAGTTTGAATGCCACTGGACAAATGATTGTCTCAGTTCTTAAATCTTGTATTTCTTTGATCTTTAACAAGGGTGTCTAATTTTTTTTCATTTTAATATTACATTTTTTTTGCAGAGAATTATCGACTGGCATATGAAGCTCGATTGGTGTTAGCAAATCATTTCAGCAATGAGGAAGACAAGTGGTTGTCCGATCATTTTCGGGAAACATGTTTGGAAGTCAGTTGTCTGGTAGATTCTGATGAGGGTAAAACTTATGCTGAAGGATATTGCAACATGGCTTTGGCCCTCAAAGACAGTGGTAGGTTTTTTTAGAATATTTTTCATCTTTTAAACCTGAAGTACAAATATAATAGAATAAGGTAGATGGTAACTCTGGAGTGTGATATCTTCATAACCTCTATGATTTCTGGTGAAGTGATTAAGATCAGTAAAGTAAATTCAGCAATCTTGAACCTTCATGTCTGCCAAAAAAAAAAAAAACAAAGTGTGAAAAGGAAAGTTTTTCCCTTGACACCACTATTATTTTAACTAACTTCACTCCTTCAGAAATATTTATTGTTGCACTTAATTTTCATGTGAATGATAACTCTCTCATTCTTAGAAAGCATGCTGAAGTGTATATGCTATTTGCTTTCCAAATAGTAACACTGCCTTGTATATAATATATGATGGTAGGTAGGTATATTTAAGAGAGTATTTAAAAATAAAAATATTTCTCTTCTACTGTCTCTGTGTATAGAAGTTGATAATTTCACATGATCTTCCTTTAAAATAAAATATGTGATTTTTAAAATATACTTCAAAATTATTCTTTATGATATTGGTAATTCCTGATTCACTTTTGAAATCTTTCCTTCTTCCTTAAAAAATCTGGATCTTGTTTCTATTGCTGATGGACAACTGATCCAACTTATAATTTTAGATTTTTGTACTATGAATAAGAAACAAGCAGTTGTTTATAGGACATTTTGAAGGTTGAATAATATTTTTTACAGAAAGCTGCAAAGTAGGAGCAATAATGATTATTTTTTTTTGAATTTTAACAAATTTCAGAAGTAACAACAGTTTCAAGATGGGTTCAGAAGTAAAATTTAATTGTATTCTATTTATTTCTGGTATCTCGAATTTAAAAACAGATGTATCATCATATGCATACCTGATAATATTTGAAACCTTGAAAATTCTATATTTAGCATAAAACAGTTCTCTTGAGCCTTCCTGTTAAGAATCACTTAAAATTTACTTTGGTAAACTCTTTTCAAGTTTACCAAAGTAGCTTTTAAGTAAAAAGACTGACCAATCAGTTGACTATCTGCTTTCAAGATAAAGTGAGCATCAAAGGAGATCAAGTTGCTTATTGTATGAGGAATTATAAAAATTATTTAGGTACTGAACAGGTAGAATATAATTTTGAGGATCAAGTGCCTACATGACTAACAAACAAATGCAAAATCAGCTATTTATATTTACAATTGAAACATTTTGCTTTGGTTTGAGGCTTCATGAAATTTACTACTTTAGCCATACTGTCAAAAAATGGGAGCATTGAAGTAATTTTATAATTGCATTTTATTTCTTGAATATCAAAACCTTTATGTAAGTTTGCATTTTCTTATTTATGTTAAATATATTAAATATTAAGCTAATATTTGCATGAATTTAAAACTAAAAGTAGGATTAAGTAAACTTAACAGCTGATTCTCTGCTTTAAAGGTGGTCCACATGTGCTTCTCATATGTAGAATAAATAGGCTGGTTAATGAAATTTCAAGGATAAAAAGCCAACAAAATGATACCAATATTGTCAATAAAATTGATATTTATTTCATATAAACCTTTTGACTGAAACAAAGCACTAAGAGATAAATTTTAAAGTCAGAATTTTCTGTTTTCTTTTTTCAATGATGTGAGGAATAAACAAAGAAGTGGGACTTACTCTTTCAAGGAATTTCATTGGTTGGAGGTCTCCCTGTGGAAGTTATACTTCTTGAATAAAACCAAATCTCTGTTTAATTCCTCAATGTTTGAATTTCTTTTGAAAATAAATTTCAACTTTGATCTACATCTCACCTCTTGGCTGTTGAATGAAAACACCAAAAGCACACATCTGGTGTCATTTGCGTTATGATGTAGTAAATTGAAGTGATTTGTGACTGGGAGACTCTATTTTTATTGTCCCTGGTGATTTTCTTATGGTTGTTAAAACAAAGTCAGAATTTTGTTCTGGTTTCTCCCAAATAGTTACCGTGTTTGAACTTGTGGCAAAAAACAAATATATATATATATATATATATATATATATATATATATATATATATATATATATATATATATAAAAAGGATGAAAGAGATTTTTGTACTGATATGTTTATTTCTCTACAGGTGAATATCTTATGGCAATGGAAAAGTTGGAATGGTATTATGAACTGACTGCTGGTCGGGAATGGACAAATGATGAGGGACTCAACCTTCATCAGCAAGCCAGCAGCTATCTTTTCCAGATCTACACATTTATAGCTATGAAAAAGAAAGAAAGCGGTTACACAGAAGAAGCTCTTTTATATTTACAGAAGGCTTATGAAAGAGCTGTAGAAGGTAAGTTGAAATATGGAATAAAATATTTACTTTTTATTGCTAATAACCAGTATGTCTCTAAATGTTACATATTGCATATGGTTGAAAGAGTAAACAAATGAAAAATAACAATATATTGCCATTGAGGCAGAAAGAAAAAGAGAAAAGATGATTTTTTAGACAATATTTTAAAAGATACAAAAAGCATTAAAAAGCTTAGTTGTCCTCTTTTGATGAAAGTCTCAGTTAACTATTTTTTAACTTGAATAATTCAGCGCACATCGAATCATTTGGCTGACATTTTGTTAATCAAAAATACTATTTAAAAAAAACATCTTGTATGTTTAAAAATTCAGTAACTAAAATGTTAATTGTGGTTGTAAAGAGAGTATATTCCAACCACCAAACAGAATAATATAAAAATAGCTCATAATGGGGGGGGGGACAAATTTGTCTGTCTCTTGTTATAGAATATTTTAGTTGTTGTTCTGAGATAACATTGCACAATTTACAGCTTGTTGCATGCTAAAATCTTACACTTTTGGATGATATTATTATTGCTGTTGATAATAATCTTAATAAAGACTGACTTTGACAACAGGTGATTATATTTGTCATGATCAGTATTTAACTCTGATACTCATTTCTTACAACTGTTGTCAAATAGATAAATATTATATATTGAATATGGTTGCAAGAGTAACAAATGAAAACAATGATGCATTGTCATTGAAGAAGAAAGAAAAGGAGACAAGATATGTTCAAATAAAATTATTTGTATTACCAATGTATACATTGGATCAAGGTAGAATGTCTCTTGTAGCTGATGGAGGTGGCACTTGTGAGTGAAAGTGCTTGATCTCAAAGATAGGAGAGTTGGTTATGTTCTGGTATTATGTTTGAAATTTGTGTCAGATCAGTCGACCAAGAGGCCTCTGGGAACTGCCTTGCAGGTCTTTTTAAGCAGTCTTGTTGAATACATGACTCAGCATTTTTGTCATGTTTTTGCTTTTAATGGCATTGTTTGTGATTGGCTTTGATGTTTAAATTTTATTTTATTTTTTGGGGGATTCGTTTTGTGAACCAGATGCAATGATTGGAGCCCCTGTGAATCATAACGTTTTTATTTTTAATTTTGGTTTCATAGTGTTCACATCTGGCCAACAGGTTTTGATGTATCGTGAATCAGGAAGAAGTCTAATTTGAAGCAGATTATAGCATAAAATGATATAGGATAACTATTTAGTATGTTTGTTGTTATTCCATCTTATTTTGCATCTGCTTTTGTTAAATTCTTTGCTTCTATCTATCTATCTTCTTTGGACATGGCTGAGGATTTACATATTTGCTATAGTGGATGTTTGAGTCCAAGCAAAGGCAAGAATTTCAAAAGCAAGCAGGTGGTTTCTTCAAGAGATTAACAATGCACAGTCATTTCATTCATATACATGTAAAATTTGATAGTATCAGTTGAGCCCATTAGTTTACCTTTTGGATGAGTCATCAATATTCAATTCTAAATAAAGACCATGTTTCAATGTAGGTAACCTCTCTCACTTCGGCAGTCATTCTGCTTTCTTAATTACATTCATGTACTCATAAAAGCTACACTAGTGGAATAATATTGACATGAAAGTTCAACGTCTGTATAAAAAAGAAAAAGAAAATCCACTCCTGATATTGTGGTGGTACTTAATAAAATAGGAAACATTACTTTTGGGACAATTTACACATATATATATCGTGTGGATATAAGAATCAACACTGCATGGTGACTGTCAGTTTCATGCCTCAATTTGATTTTCAGATCTTCTTGGTTTGAAGATCACATTAATATGTAAAACTGCTAGTCACCATGCAGTGTTGATTCCTATGCCCATTCTGACTATGTTGATAAATATTCTATGTCTGATATTAAGTACACTTTCCCTATAAATATAGTAAATTCTAATCTATCTCTCTCTCTTTATATATATATATATATATATATATATATAAATAAATAAATAAAAAGAAAGAACAGTAAGGTATATAATCTGGTGTTCTTATAGATATTTTTATTTTTACAAAATAGTGCTCAATGTAAATCCAGACGACATGCACGGATGTCAGAATTTGTTGAAACATACATCCCTACCCCTACCTAAACGAAAACCCTTCTTCAAACGTAACTAATAACTGATACAACAAAATGCAGTGATAATGAACACGCAACCATCCCTTGTCTGGATGAATGGATTTCTCTGTATCCTTGGAAATGTGAATTATGAATTTTTGCAGTGCCTTTAAAACCCAGTAATTTTAAAAATAAGTTACTCCAAAATTCGCTTGAGGATGAAATGGAACTGTCTTTAATTTAATTACAAAATTAAATTCAAAGCTTTTAGCTTTCATCTTTGAAACATGGTTAGAACTGTGTAGCGAAAATACCATATTTTAAATCAGTTAATTTTTAATATATATATATATATATATATATATAAGATGTGTTGGAATCAAATATGGATCAGAATCTGACAGAATGATAAGATAAAGAACAAATAGGAAAACAAACATTTCCTATTTGTTATTTATCTTATCAAATATGTTAGTTCCTAAAGAGAAAAAAGAAGGAAAAGGAATAGGGAGAAAGTATAAAGAGAAATAACTACAACATTCAACACATATGCACTGCACATGTGTACACAAACACATATCCACAAAAAAAGAGAAAAAAAAATCAACCTAGCACTAACAACTAGCACATAAATCAATTTCTAATTTAATATAAAAATAACTCAAAATGAGAAAAATGGCAGTCAATTGCTGAAATCTCCTGATGAGTGGACCAAACAATTGCTAAATGGTTCATCTATAAAACTCTGGTGTCAATGTGCTGAGTATAACATCAATCAGCTAAATGATAAATTTTATTTGTATTAATCATATATATATATATATATATATATATATATATATATATATATATATATATATATTTATATATATAGAACAGCACTCATGGCCTGACGATTACATCTAGCATGAAACAGACTGTCGCCTCTAAATGTTGACTTCTATGTTCACTTTTATATCTACACATGCTCTATCTCTGATATTGAGCACTTTATTCCATAAATACAGCACATCTATCTTAAGACTATATTTTTTTATATATATATATATATATATATATATATATATATATAATTTGCTTTTATGTAAATATTTATTTTCCTGACTACTTTTTTTTTTCTATTTTCCAGCTAAAGATCAAAATGATATTGGAGAAGCCATCTATAAACTTGGTCTTGCTTACCTTGATGCTAAAGATCCTGATGTTGCTCTTGAGGTGAACAGAATAAAACAAATCTTTCTCTTTTTACATTTTGATTCTGTTATTACTCTATTTTTTCTGGTGAACAATTCTCTTTAATTTCTCTAAAGTCAACCTGTGTAGACATTTCTCTTGAAAATAGCTTTGTACTTGTTATATTCCATGCTAATAGGAATATATACTTGAAAACCAAGGTGGATAAAATAACTAAAGTTTTATTGTAAAAAACCAGTACAATAAGAATAAAAGTAACAGTTATGCACAAGGTTGTTGCAAGTCAATCCAGTAGTGGGTGCTACTATTGGAAGGTCGATAGTTCTCACGTAAGTCTGAGTCATACTCAACAGATCCCAGCTAGTCTCTGTAGTCCGTTGACTTACAGATACTTATAGGTAGTAACTACCAATGGGGTGGCAGGTTATTCCATTACATCAGTACTTAAGACTGTAAATCTTTTGGTTCAGTGGTAGAGCATGAAACTTGTCTTGGAGAAGCTTTTTTTTTCACTAAGTTCTGTTATTCTTTTTAATCCAAGAGTGACATCCACATGAATATTTAATGAAAACAGCTTAGTAACAAGCATTGTCAATTCTTATTAATTTTTTACTAGAATTTCTATCATTTTATTTTCAATTGACTTTTGTTGTGACTTCTCAGAGTGTCATTTCATAATTGTTAGTAAACACTATATGTCAGGAAAAAGCTTTTGGTGAGGCTTAAAGATAGTATTAGGCCTTTATGGATAATAAAGAATAAATCTATACTAACAGTTCCCATGAAAATTTCCTGATTTTCCTATTTGAATTTTCTGATGAAGCACAAGTCTTAATTTAATGACTAAATAAGCTTCTAATGAGTTCTACAGCTACAAAATATCCATGGAAATTCCCCTATTGCATCATTAAATATTTGAGTGGAACAACTTTAACAGAATATTGCAATAACATTGAATGCAGTGCATTATTTAAAGAAGAGGGTACAAATGAAAAGATTTAAAATTCAGACATTAAATACATGAGAGAATTAACACCTCCTCTATCATCTATTTTTTGTTCTTTCTTATTAAATATGGTTTCTTTTTCTTACTAAAATCAAACAGTGTCTCTGATATATCTTTCATTTCTCTTTTTCCTTGCAATGAAAATGAAATAATCCAGTATTTATCTCAGATAATAGCAGCACATAACACATGTGCGAATTTACTATCTAATGCAGAGACAAGTGGAATATGATTGCTAGATTTGATTTCATTAGTTTCTGTAGCCCAAATGGTAGAATAGCTGTTATGGTAAGGCAATCTTCCCAAAGAAATGTCATGTGAGTTTCAGTCCCACCAAAACCTTATTCTTTATTTGTGATCTATGCTGTTTAATAATGATTTGAGTAGAAAACAACTGAAATTTAGATGAAAGAAATACTAGTCAAAAATTAATAATAAATCATGTAAAATCTATGATGCCTGTATCATATAAATGTTAACTTGAAAACAGCTTTATTCAAATTTTGTACAAGTCCTATGCCTATGATGGTAACATCTTTTTGTTGCAGTGACCAAGCAGGTAAAGTAGTTATGAAGGAGTGATTTCTAAAAGTGCTCACTTATTTACTCTTTTCTCTATAAACCATCATGGTGTTGGGATACAAAAAGCGATTATCTCCATTTGGTTGAGATTAAGTTGCATGGATCATATGACGATCACATAGTGACCTCACTTTATACAGTGATGAAAGAGACAGCTAAAACACATGAGTTGTTTGTCCTGCCCGTGCCAGTTGCCATATGCTGCAGCATACAAGCACTTGGCCTCATTTTCCTATGGAAATATATCTTCACCAGATATAGAAATTATCTCTGGCTTGCAGTCCTCAATTTGAGAAAAACCCAAGGTTCACTGTTTCCTCATTTTCAGAATATGTCTTTGCTAGGGATATAGCAGATATCTCAGGCCTGCTCAAATTTGGAGTCCTAAATATGATTTCTCCAGAAACACAGAAGAATCTCCATATTATATATAAGGCCCTATTCTTTTATTCTACTTTCACTCTGCTTGTTGTGTAGATATATCATATTTGCATGAGATACATGTATATATGTATATATAATTTTGTGTATGACTTAGTGGTATAAAAGTTTTTCTGGGAACAAAGCATTTTTGTCATTCCTTTTCCATTCAACCATTCTGTTCCCTCCATGAAGTACAGTGTTATCATGGATATAATAATGCCCATAATAGAAGGAAAGATAAATGGGAGAATAAACCTTTCTTCTCTAGTGCACACATCATCTGGGTCAACCTGACATGACATGATATTATTAACCTTCATTATTTGGCGACTTACCTAACATATAATATTATTTACCTCCATTAACTAGTAACCACAATGATGATATATATTTTCATTCCTATAATGGCATGTCAATAATGAGGTGAAATCTTTTCCAAAATATCTGGTAATGAACAGACTGTAAAGAGATGTGGATTCATACCTTTTCCAAAGGTATTAATGCAAAGCGAATATAAAAAGCTTTCATCAGAGTTTAAACATGAACTGCTGATTGTTATTCCTACTGCCAAACATTATGCTGCATGACACTTGTAATTGTAAAATGTATTTAAGTCTTGGATACATTGTTGAATTTTTTAAGTATATAAATTGACAAATGAGAAACAATTTGTTTCAAAGAATATGCTTCCTTTTTCAATTTTCTTTACAGCACTTGAAAAAATTTATGGAAATCTCAGAAAAACTCCACAGTGCTTATGGCATGGGAAGAGCTGCAAATGGTATCGCCTCTGCTTATGAAATGTAAATATGTTTTACCATTTGATTATTATTAATTTTCTGAACAGACTGTAAGTAGAAGGGTTTCTTGTACCTTAACACACTGTTGAATGGGTTCAAGATTATACTGACTACATCCTCATGCAGAGGGATAATCCTACCACAGAAAGAGGCCACTTATTTGCTATAACTATATCTACCTTTTTGACCCTTGACAGGGTGCTTACTCACCTGTAGTGTTATTTCTTTCTCTTAGAAAGTTAGCATTCATCTTACTAAAATATCCAAAAAGGGCTAACTTGCTTGAAAATTTTAGCCCTAGTCAATGGCAGAATTTAGCTTTTGAAAAAAACCAACAAGGTAGTAGACTTCTTTTGTATTTATAAATATTATATATATATATATATATATATATATATATATATATATTATTTATTTATTTATATATATATATATATATATATATATATATATATATACCAAATCTCATGCAAAAACTGTCACTTAAAATATGTGGGTGAAACATGTAGGTCCGTAAAATCTTGTGTGTTGGATCTATATCCATATATTTGCTTGCATATATATATATATATATATATATATATATATTTATATATTTATTTATTTATTTAAATATTTTTATTTATTTATAATTATATTTATAATTATTATACATATTATATTTATATTTTGATGTCAAATGCAGAGAATCCGATAAGTAGTGATGTCAAAGTAGAGATGATCAAGAAAACATTTTTTGAGATAATGACAATAATGTTATAAAGAGAATTGAACATTCAGTTGATGCTGGCTTTAGAAAATACAACCACTTTGAATAGTAATGTAGACTTGGCTTTCAAGTCCTGGGTCGCAACCAGTCTAAGAGATGGAAAACTCAAATACTAAACCATGGAGAAAACAACAGGAAATGACTCGACTATATTTCCCAGTAAGTTATGGTAATTTACAGATAATAAAGAAAAGGAATCTCTAAAGAACCATTATTGAAAGAACATGGCATTAAAAGAATAATTTTTCAAATTTAGCAATTTGGTCTGTTGAACAAACTTCTAATCATTCTTCTTATCAAATAATCACTTGAAATCATATCAATATTTAAAACTTGAAAGATATTATTGTAGAATAATTAATAGTAATTGTCATTTAATAGAAATCAGAAATGAAAGAATTAATTTCTGATGTCTCAGTAGATGGGGTTTCTTCTGTTTTAATGCAACACTATTGAATTGCATATCTATACACTTTTGAATTTTACAACTTCCTGTTGAAATATTACTGTATTTCTGTAAAAAGCTTGTGGATTACATATTCAAGCATAAGTGTTGAAAGTACATTGAATTCATCAGCATCATTAGTGGTGTCACTATTATTGGATTGAATTTTTAATACTTTCTTAATCCCAGATAGTGTTTGTCTATTTCATCTTTCAACTTAAAACACTTTGAATATTGAATAGCAACAAATTCCTGTGATTATTCAAAATTGTGAAAATCAGTTTAAATACTATAAATACATTTTAGTCTAAACTACTTTACCAAATACTTTCCAGGAACTGGGATTTTTTATTGTTTTATCCAGACAGTTTTTCAGAATTTATGGGCTACAGAAAGTCATTAACATTCAACTTCAATTTGCTTTTTTTCTATTGAACTGAATCTCTTTGTGATTGTTTCTTGTAAATGATGAGAATGATGCAAATAAACATTAACATATTTATCTTGTTGATCTGATAAGTTTTATTTATCATTTATAAAATAAATTAGCTCCCTACCAAATCTAAATTCTTGTGACAAACACAAAAACCTAGTTAGTAGGAATAGAAAATTGTATAAGATGCAATTAACAACCAAGACTCAAATGCTGCATGAAATTTTAAAGGACAAACATTTATTTTGGAATACAGAAAAAGGAAAGAATACAAATACAAAAAATGTACATATAAGTCTTGCACAAAATTTTGCTTTTGCGCACCTTGTAAATAATTGAGGCAGGATAACACTTTCAACATATGACAAAAAAGATTACATCTTTTAAAAATTAAAAAAAAAAATGGAAAAAACCTTTAGAGGAAGCAAAAATTGCACAAGGCAGATAATATAAAAGTGTACCCACTTAATTTGTTCAACTAAATACTAAATAGGAATATTACATTTTTCCTAAAACCAGATATTTTTCTGATTCATGCTGCACTAATTTTGCACTGGCAGGATGTTAACACTCTGAACACCAAAAACTGAACTAAAATTCTATCAAGGCTCTGCAAATATTTTCCATTTTTACTCATATACTCAAAGAAAAAAAAAATTATGTAATCCAGAATTTCCACCCAATAGCACCCACTCCTGGCTAAAGAAACAAAATAAAAAATGGAGCTGATATGAGTCATAAGAGACATAAAAAACCATTAAAGGGACATTTTGTAAGTTGGAATGCATCTTGGCTCAGGTCCACAGACTTCATCAGAAAGCAACCTTCAATCTCCAAGAGATATCAGACTTGGCAAGCTCGCCCAAGACTGTCACCGCAGTAAGTCACAATGGATCCTTCCTCTCCTTCTTTATGCCTCACCGGATGCCCTTTTACAACTCCACTTACCTCTTTGTCATTGAGAGACATCTACACTGATTTATCATTTGTTGTATTTTATGTTAATACAATTGTTTATTTCTGTAAATTTTTGTTGTTTCTTCTTTGTTCTGCTATCATACGCTTATCCTAACAGGAATATCTCAGCACAAAGGTGTTTTGTGTTTTCAACAGGTCTTTGTCTCAAGGACTTTATGTAGTTCTTTACTGGAAAGTTCAACTTGAGTGTTTGTTTTGTTCAAATATTTCCCATGAAGATGCTAAAAAGACTTTTCTGTCCTGTGACTTGAATCTGTTTTCTGGTTCTGCCAGTTCTTCTTTCTCTCCCTCCTCCGCCCCCATGATGACTTATGACCCCTTTGGCTAGACTTCAATGCCTTCTTCTTGGCAATTAATTGCTTTCTGAAGCCATCATTTAACTGCAATCTTTTTATTCAAGAAAATGGGGATTCCAGGAGGCTCCACCCAGGTTTTCACAAGGGCTTGAAAGCACGTTTCTTATTGGCCAATAAATATGAAAACTTATTTTCTCATAAATTCAAATATGAATCCCCAACAATTCACAAAGAAATGATTTTTGTGGTTCTTTAACAACTAATTCTAAAATAGATTCTCACACAGCTGTAACAATATTTTACGACCTGTCTGGCTTAAAAATACACTTTTCACAAAGGCACATGTAACAAAAAACAATCTAGATGATTAAACATCTATTTACTACACTAAAGACTAAGTTATAAAAAAATAAAATTTTTATACATTTGTTTATCTTATGAAGTTTTACACAATGTTAAATTTCATTTCTGTCTTACAGGAAAGGTAACATGGACATATGCATGACTTACTTGAGAATGTATGTAGATATTGCCGAAAAGAATGGCTTGGAACAAGCCTACAGCACTGCATGTCATCATTTGGGTAGCATTTGTAATTCACTTGTAAGTTCTTTTCTCTTAGATTTATTATCTTCTTATAGTTTCTGTTTTCATTATTAATTGCTGGCAAATTCTTCTTTTATCTTAGTATGATTGCTTTTTATTAAAGATCATGAACAAAATTATCATCATCTTTTAACAAGTGTTCTGTTAAATAAGACTCAAGATAAACCTTTCTAAAACAGAAACTATGATCTGGAATTGGAATGAAAGTAGTGATGGTTCAAACCCTGAATCTATTGTAAAAATTCAGGGTTTGAAATTAATAAATACTAAACACTCAGTGTACGGATTAGTTTTCTTTTTTTAATCATTTTACCCCAAGCAAAGAAATAAAGCTACTAAGATGCAAGAGGTTACTGAGTGTGAGAAAATATGAGAAAAATATTTATTTGAGAAAAATAAAACATTATTAAAGATAGAGAACAATTAAAGAACAGGAATTAAGAAGATAGAAGATAATGATTGACATTGCATTTAATTTTTTGAAGAATTGACTGGAAAGCAAGAAGAGTTAAACAAGTGAGAAGTGCAAGAGAAGAAACTGTTAGCATAGAACTTATGGTTACATCTAGCCAATTCAACTGTAAGAGGATGAGACTTTGCTATACATCTAGTAGTACACTTAAATTCATAAAGTTTAGGTACTAAAGAGTAAAGCTCATCAGAATAATTACCATGAAAATATTTATAAGGCACAGCAAAGCTATGTTACAGCAGTGGGAAAGTGACTGAAGCCAAGATGCCAGATCAGGACCAATAACATTGCAGATTCTTTGTATTTTATCAAGAATCTCTAAATATATAGCAGAAACACCAGACCATATATGGCAGCAATAAGTTATAACAAATTTAGTATAGGAGATCAGGAATTTGAACAGAGGAATAGGCTGAGCTAGGGGTAGTTTTGCACAACACTTCAAGTTGCCACAAAACTGAAACATTAGCCTAGAAACTTTAATCATAATGTTGTTAGCTGTATACAACCAAATGAAGCTTGTAGTTCTTAGCAAGGACCATTTCTCTTCAAACCTCATGGACTGGCATTACAGAATCATGAAGAACTATATCAAATAACAGAAACTCCATTACCTGAGGACTTTCAACAGCAGCAATAACTAAAATGGATAGCAGATGTATCTCAAAGATAAAATGACATAATGAAAATTTTTTACTTGAAGCAAACAGTTAGAAAAGAATCCCACATCAGTAATGGAAAGAGCCATAATAATAACTGGATTTGAGAAACCTATTCTCCTGAAAAATTGTTTTAATAGAAAGATTTTACAAGTCTCAACTGAAAGTAGCACTGATTGCTTGGTCAATGAATACTGAATGTTTACTTAGAAGGAAACAGTAAATATTACCATTAAATTCTATGACTGTTAAGTAAGCAGTATAGATTAGAAATAAAAATGTAGCCTCTAATGAAATTTGAATTCATATCTAGTCTTCTTGGAGCTGATCTTATGTGGGTAATGACTTTCTAATTTGGTCACAAACACTAATCAGCAGACAAAATTAAAAATTGTTCTATCACTACGTACTTTTCTTATGCATTTTTCTCTTACCAGCATGGAGAAGAGAATTGACTTGTCAAATTCACATTTGTGCAAATCCCCTTGGAAAGTGATGAATCCTTCTCTTCTCCCTCCAGTTATTGTTTAATAACCAAACTGCATTTTCTAGCCTTAGTTGGCAATCAGTCCAGGAGAAGGACAACTCTAAATTCAAAGCTTGTTGGCTAGCAACTTCACTCTGTAAAAACCGACTGACCATAGCAACCATAGCAGCATCACCTAGGGTGGTGAGGCCGTGGCTCTATACGCTGCTGGGAAGTCTACGTGCTTAACATAGTCATAAATATAATAGGTTTAAGGTATCAGAATTTCTTAGATGAAGTACTTTCATCATTATTTTTTATTAGTTTTCCTTTCCATATTATTATTGCTTTTTTTATTATAATACTCAGATTGTTTGATGTTCTACAACTATAAAAAATAGCTTCTGACAAGATTTGAACTGCTGTCCCATAATTTTGGGAGCCTATTTAACATGGATGGTTGTCATTCACAACTCTGAATGCTTATTGTCTCTCATACTACTGAAGGCTATTATGTATCCTGTTATTATTGTACCGTGCTGGACAACTGTGAGTAACAATGAATGACGAGACAAAATGTACTGTGTGCTAATCTGTAGAAACCCACGGCATGAGTAAATTTGACTGTTAGTAGCTGCAGGCGTCATGCTTTATTGGAGCGTGATTGGTCTCTATAAATAGTTACAAGGGAATTAACTCTGTATTTATTAATACATCATAGCTATTATCATTCACAATTTGAATGCTATTGTTTTTCATAACACAGAATGCTGAAGTCTTTTATAACTATGAATGCTATTGTGTTCTACAACTCTGAATGCTCTCATTTTTATAACTTTGAATGCTATTGACTTTCAGAATACTAAATGCTATTGTCTTTTACAACACTGGATATTTCTTTTGAAGGCAATTCATGATGAAGCTGTGGAATGGTTCAGCAAAGCCTACAACATTTCCCGAGCTCTCAATGACTACCAGTCCCTTGGGGCCAATCGTGTTCAGTTTGGTACAGCTCTTGCACACAAAATGAATGTGATTTACATAAGTAATGTGAAGATGCCAAATATTGAAGCTTTGCTTAAATGGAAAAGCTTTCGTGCTGAAGAATTCATTTCTGAAGAGAATGAGGTTGAGAACCATACTGAGACTAATGCTGAAGATTTGTTCTCTGACAAGAAGAAAGAGCCAAGTGAAACAGGAAATGAGCCCACAGAAAATGGTGAGGAAGAAATAAAAGAGTTGGCAAGCGATAACAACTTATCTGAAGAAAATGTTTCCAAGTGATCATGGAAGAGAAATTTTTCACAGTCTCACATGATGCAAATGTCATTACTAGGTCAGTCTATTTACTGTGTTTTTTTCAAAATATGCTCGTGGAATATAGAACAATTACCAACTCTACTTCCAACACACACACATTTTTTTATATCATAAAAGACATAATTAGTAAGTAAAAAAAATAACAGTAATAAATATGATTCAAATGCTGGAGGGTCATTTGGGAACCTTGTGGCACTCGATGCCCCAGGTCTCTGTATTCGTCCCTTCAAAAAGTGTGGATGGTCCTGCACAAAGCCTTCACCACTATAATCAAATCTCATGTACCGGTGTCGGGCTGTCGGTTTCCTGGAAACTGATCTGCTTGACCCTCATACGTTAAATCTCGATGGGAGAGTCGACTATTATATATATATATATATATATATATATATATATATATATATATATATATATATATATTAAAAGTGGACATTGAGGTTAACACATGGTGGCCACAGTCTGTTTCATGCTTAAACACAATTTTCAGGCCATGTGTGTCTGATGCTGAAATAGCCTGACATCCATAGCTGGAAGATTGTGTTCAAGCATAAAACAGGCTGTTGCGGTGGGTGTTGACCTTAGTGTCCACTTTTATTTCTCCAAATGCTTTATCTCTGATATTGATCACTTTAACCCATAAATATAGCATATATTTTTTTCATATACATATATATATTTTTTAAATAAACAATAAGCTATATCTTGCATCTGACGAGTTGGGTAACCAATGAAACATAAGTTACACACCAAACATAGGTATATGTGTATTTGTTAATATATATTTCTTAGCTCTGTCTAACCACATTGAGCACTATAATGTCAACACCTCTTGGCAAAATTTGTTAATTATTTATTTGCTTACCAGCATATGCTCGCCAGCACATGTGTATACGGTTGCTAATATTTAGTTATTTCATTTACCTAATTTTCTCTCTCTCTCTATCTCTCAATATATATATATATGTATTTATATATAATACTCAGATTGTTTGATGTTCTATGACTATAAAAAAATAGCTTCTGACAAGATTTGAACTCCTGTCCCATAATTTTGGGAGCCTATTTAACATGGATGGTTGTCATTCACAACTCTGAATGCTTATTGTCTCTCATACTACTGAAGGCTATTATGTATCCTGTTATTATTGTATCGTGCTGACGTTATTTTTCAGTTAAAAAATATGAAAATAGCATTTCTCTACATTCCAGTTGCTAGGTACATTCCCTTTTTGTTTTTATTAGTTACTTTGTTCATTTAATTTCATTTTTGTATTTTGCTTTGATAAAGTCCACATTGGACGAAACGCATCAGCAATTTCCAGTTTTCCTATTGTCATTTTTATTCATAAATAAATATAAATAAATATATATATATATAATTATTTATATATTATATGCGTGGTACTTATTAGAAAGCGCTCAATATCAGAGATAGAGCTAACATATTTGGTTGGATAGATGTGAGTTTGTGACCCTGGGTTTCACGCTTTAGTGATCGTCAGACAATCACTGAAGTGTGAAACCCAGGGTCACAAATTCACATCTATCAACTAAATATATATATATATATATATATATATATATATATATATATATATATATATAGATATATATATATATATATATATATATATATATATATATATATGATGATGTAGTATATCTGATAATATTTATATTGATGAAACACAATTAAGTTTTTAAAAAGAATTTATCTAAACTGTTATTTTTATTTTTTTATTTTCAGCAAATGTTATCTATCGAGTGGCAAAAAAAGTCAGATTTTGGTGGTTGATTCCTGAATTTTTTTTAGTTGTAATTTTAACTGTCTTCATTATTTCATTGGAAAATAAAATTTCTCTGTTTTTATTCTTGTTTCTGTTTATTTTATCTTTGTTTGACAGAAATTGCATTCAGGTTTTATGAAGGATGCTCTGAAAGGAATATTTTATTGTGTTGTTGGTATGGCAGTAGAAATTCACCCTTCCAACCAATAATTCATAATTTATTTTGCCTTATTGCATGCAGCCGATGTTTTGCTAACTGCTCCAATAAATAAACTAATAAATAAATAGTGTAAATAAGCATTTAATAAATAAATGGTGTTTATTATTTTGTTGTCAGTTTTCAAGAACAAAGAAAATGTATCATTTTACTTTCATATGTTTATGTTTTATTAAAATTCTAATCATTACTTTTTAAAATAATAAACATTGCTGAGGAGTGAAAGTAATTAAAATAATAGCAATATCAGGGTAAAAGAAGTCCTTTTTTGTCAGCTCAAAAGTCCAAGATTACCAAAATTTTGATATTTCTGAATGAATTTATATATATATATATATATATATATATAAATTCATATATATATATATATATATATATATACATATATACCTTCATATATATATATATACATTCATATATATATATATATATATATATATATATAAATTCATACATATATATATATAAATTCATATATATATATATATATATATATTTATATATATATATTTATATATATATATTTATATATATATATTTATATATATATATTTATATATATATATATATTTATATATATATATTTATATATATATATTTATATATATATATTTATATATATATATTTATAAATATATATTTATATATATATATTTATATATATATATATTCATATATATATACATATATATATATATATATTCATATATATATATATATAAATCATATATATATATAAATTCATATATATATATATATAAAATTCATATATATATTCATATATATATTATATACATATAAATTCATATATATAAACATGTGAAAAATGTGTGTGTGTATATATATATATATATATATATATACACACACACATTTTTCACATGTGTGAAAATATATAATTATTTATATATTATTTATATATTATTTATATATTATATGTGTGATACTTATTAGAAAGCACTCAATATCAGAGATAGAGCTAACATATTTGGTTAGATTGATGTGTGTTTATGACCTTGGGTTTCATGCTTTTGCGATTGTCAGACAAACTCAAACTGAAGATCTCAAAAGCGCGAAACCCAGAGTCACAAGCTCACATCAATCCAACCAAATATGTATATATATACATATATTTTAAAGAAAAACAGACCACTTTAAGGTTCCATTGTAATAATTTATTTCACCTGAGCCCTTTTAAAGGATGCTGGATCAGATAGCACTTCCAAAAGATGAAACGAAATGAAATAAAAATTTACACTTTTGATGGGTAGTGTATGTTTTTGGAATTTAACAGAATGGTTAATGAGGAGTGGTTTGAGAGGCATGTTTGAGTTTAGAGAGTGTTTATTTAATATTTCTTTCAATCATATTTAGTATTGGGGAGGAGATATATATATATATATATATATATATATATATATATATATATATATATATAGATATATATATATAAAACAGGGAGGATATATATATATATATATATATATATATATATATATATATATATATATATATATATATATATATATATATATATATATATATATATATATATATATATATATATATATATATATAAAACGGGAGGAGATATATATATATATAAAAATGTTTTGTAAGAAATTTTGTTGAAATAATTATTCTAAGTCAATAAAATTGTATTTAATTTTAGGAACTCATCACAAAATTGACTTCTTAAAATTAGAAAAAGTTATTGCAATACATTTTGAAAGTTTTTTTGCTTTATAACATCTTATAAAGTAAGAAAATATTTGATAAGGCCTTATCAAGCAAATTCTTTGCTTTCTAATGTTTTATAAGGTAAATTATTTTGATTTGTAAGGTCTTATAAGGCAAGTTCATTTACTTTCTTAAACCTTATAAGCTAAAATCTTTTACTTAATAATAAAGCAAATTGTTTTGCTTTATTAAACTGTATGAGGTAAATTCTTTGCTTTCTAAGGTCTTTTAAGACAAGTTATTTGACTTACATGAGGCCTTACATGACAAATAATTTTGCTTTTTAAGGCCTTATGTAGTGAATTCTTTTATTTTCTAAAGCTTTGGGAATTCTGAAGTAGTAACTGAGAAAAGCAAAGTAAAATTGAAGAGTCAAATCAGTAATGTGGAAGACGTCAATGTCAGAAAGTGAGATTAATTGTTGAAAAGAGAAATCAGAGAAAAGAGAAAACCTAAGAAAGGAGTTTAAGGGTAATGGGATGAGGGTGGTGGAGAAACAATAATGAGGAAATACTTACTTGAGGGCGGAGGTTATAAAGTACAAGAAAAAAAAAAACGGAAATTCAGAAGTGTAAAGTATAGCAGAGTAATTACCTTAATGACTCTATGGTTTCAAAGTTCCAGTTGTTTCTGATAAGAAATCTAGTGACTACCCAGCTATGGGTAGGTAATAGGGTTTGACAGCAGTTAATCAAATTACACCTCTCTTATTGTTTCCTTATCCTCACCACATTTGTCTATCATTTTGGTTGGACCAGATTGTACTTATACAATTAGAAAGCAACCATGAACTTTGTACTTTTTGTAGTTGAAGAATCTTAAAGTGTATAAATGTGTCACTTTATGAAATTTGTAACCAAATGTATTCATGTAAATGTGTAATAAGAAATGTGTTGATGCAATGTGTAATAATACATGTGTTGATCCAAATGTGTAGTAATAAATGTGTTGATGTAAATCTGTAGTAATAAATGTGTTGATGTAAAGGCATAGTAATAAATCTGTTGATGCAATGTGTAGTAATACACATGTTAATGCAATGTGCAGTAATATATGCATTGATATAAATGTGTAGTAACAAATGTGCTGACATAAAGGTGTAATAATACATGTGTTGATGCAATGTGTAGTAATAAATGTTTTAATGAAGATGTGTAGTAATAAATGTGTTGATGCAATGTGTAGTAAAACATATGTTGACTTAAATGTGTAATAACACATGTGTTAATGTAAATCTGTAGTAATAAATATGTTGATGTAAATGTGTAGTATTAAATGTGTTGATGTAAATGTGTAGTAATGTTGATACAAATGTTTAGTACATGTGTCCTTATAATTTTCACATATTTTTTGAGTAATTATTATTATTATTAACTCTTAATTATATATATATATATATATATGAATAAGTGACAAATTTCATATTTGTATTAATCCTTTATATATCTATCTATCTATCTGAGTATATATATATGTGTGTGTGTGTGTGTGTGTGTGTGTGTGTGTGTGTGTGTGTGTGTAGTGTGGATATATTGATCAACATTGCATTGTCAGTTTCATGTTTCAATGCAATCTTCAGGCCAAGTGGTATATCTCCTTAGCTGGCGATATATATATATATGTATATATATATATATATATGTATAAAGTGATAAAAATATAGTATTAAGGTATGCTATATTTATGGGTAAAAGTGCTCAATATCAGCGACAGAGTTAGTGTCTTAAGTAAAGAAACAAAGAGACTAATAATTTAATTTCATGCGATTTATCTCCAATAACATATATTTCTGAAAAAAAGAAGGTTAATCAAAGAATATGTATGATCAAATGTTGCTTTATGAATCTTACTCCAAAAAGGTAAAGACACTTTACATTAAACTTATTCACCAGTACTTGGATATGGAACTGTTATGTGGAGCCCACAATACAAAACTATCTTTAACCTTCATTCCTGCAAAAAACAATGTGTTAAAAGGACGGTATTTCCCTTGATACCGATATTATTTTAACTACCTTCTACTCCTTGGTAATGTTTATTGTTTTAAAAATATGTAGTGATTAGCTACTTCAATAATTAAATGTGTAAGGTTTCTTATGGGAACATTTTGTAGTACATGAAATAATGGAGGTGAAAAGGCGTACATGCACAAAATAACATACCAATTGATTTGCAATACGAGATAACATTTATCAGACAAATTAACAAAAGAAAAGTTTAAAACAAGAGTTTCTCTTGTTAGACGTAAATTGTATACATAGCAAAATGTTCATGAATATGTTATAGTGGGATCTTACTTTGTTGGCGTGTTTTATGGATGTAGCATTCACAGCACTTTTAGCTTCAGCATGGAAAGTTCATGACAGCAGTTTGAAAGAGGAAAAACTCGAAAGAGAGAGAGAGAGAGAGAGAGAGAGAGAGAGAGTTACTTTAGGATTCACGTGTTTTTATATTCGAGAGCTGTTGCTGATAAATTCTATTTAGAGCTGCTACTGCTACTATGTTTAAGGTCAGTACAGTACCCCTTTTCAAGCAACAATCTCAAGAAAGAATTTTTATTATGTTAAGTGAGAACATAGTTTCTGAGGCTATCTAATATGATGACTGCTCTTTGAAGTTCTAGGTTGTATCTCCTTGGTGATTTATAATGAATCCTCACAAATATTTTCTACATGTGCCAGTTTTAGTTGGTTAAATCGAGTATCAGGAAACATGTTGAAGCTGATTTAGTATGTCTATTTTGACTTTTTGACACGGAACACAATAGCGTGTCCAATCCCTGGTATCCTTGTTGATTTCGAGCTAGATATAATTTTTACTAATTAACCTGCAGGTCGCTTTTATGCCTGGGTGTAATATTGATTGCAGAGTGTCAAATAGGACACTATGGAGAGTTTTCGAAATAAAAGGCCTGTAGAAATGTCGCATCAAATGGAATGTTTCATCTGTGGGTCATATATTTCGTTCATTTATAGTGAAGGATTATTGTCCTCTAAAAGAGATTTTAGATCTTGATCATCATTTTGTGAAGT